TGTTTTTAGGTAAAACAAAATATCACATCTATTGTTTTTTAATAGTAAAATGTTTAATAGTTGTATTATCTGTGTCTTACGACTATGTTTTCTAACGATAAAAAATCTCCATTTTATCATTTCTTCAGTTAAAAATTGTAGTTACTTTAAAATTTAACATCGTCTAGACACTGTTTATAATTGAACTACTTGATGCATTTTTTTTCTGTTTCTTTTCTGTCAAGGAATAATTTTTTTGTGTAGTAACAACGCTGAAATATATTCTCATTCTATAGCTGCTATATGCTTCCATGATGATGGACCAATAATCAACCATTGTTTTTATACAAAACTCTGGTATGATCAAAGATATTATCATAGAAATATTATTAAAATTTAATAATAACATATATTATTGTATGGTAGTATCTTATTCCATTCAATCTCTCATTTCTTCTGCGAGAAAAAAGAAGTTTTTTTAAATTAAACTTCATACTACTATGTAACATCTATCAACCTGGTTTTTATTAAAAAGAAAAAACCATATGTAGAGTGTTTTAGATGGGATCTGAAGAATCATGGAAAAAATTGATTGACGATGCTATCGCAGGTGACAAAATCCTGTGTCGTACTTGTAGACTTTGTAATCAAAAAGTAAAGACTCCTCGAGATGATGCAAACAAGAAATGTTGTTGTGGTCGCTTAGTTCAACGTCATAGTTTTAATGGTGAATGCTTATCACTAAATGCAAACGATAACAATGCTGAAACATCAAATTCTTCACTGGAATTTGGGCGCAAATATTCTATTACTGTTCCTGTGACTATATACGGAACATTGAAATCCACTGGATCTATTGGTTGTAAATATATTCGAATTAATAATCAATCAAATATGAAGCCTATCTATGAGTTGCTTGTTAATGATTGTGGAGATACAAAACCAGGTCTCATTTTAAGTATTTATGGTGGTGCTAAATATTTCACTATGACTGAAAAACTGGAAAAAGAAATTATACGTGGTATAATTGATGCCGCAGCAACGTCTAGTAAATAATATATATATATATATATATATCTGTAAAATACAATTTTTTTGTTATTTTAAGATGCTTGGATTCTAACTACTGGTGTTAATAATGGTGTATCAAAATTAATTGGCGAAGGAATATCTCATTATCGTTTATTGAAAGCTAATCCAAATAAAATTGTTTGTATTGGACTAACAAAATGGGGAACAATCAATGAAAGTACACGTTTTGAATTGAAACATACAACTAAAGTATCAATAAAATGACATTGTTTGTTAAATACATATATAGTTTTATTTGATAGGGCTATCCACGAGTGCTATGCCATCGACAAATTTCTGATAATGATGCCGATACTGACGAAACTATCGAAAAGAATCATACACATTGTATTCTGTTTGACGATGGTAAACTAGGTGATTATTTAAATGACGGACAACGAGATGCTTTAGTTAAAGAAGCATGTGAATATAAAGATCATAAATGTATGTATTATATTGAAATATCATAATTGTTTTGAATGAATAATATTGAAAGGTTATGGTGTAACAATTATTGTTGAAGGTGGTAAGAATACTATTGAAGTTCTTCAAAATGATATAAAACAAAATCGACCGATTGTATTTATTGAAGTGTGTATATGTTATTGAAAATAAGAATTATATTGTTCTATATGTAGGATAGTGGCCGTTTAGCAGATGTATTTGCTACGTTAATCAATCAAACAGCTGATGCAAAGACTGATCAACAATTGTGAGTTGATTAAATAGTTCATGAATTTGTTTGATGATAGAAATATTTATTTATATTTTTATTTTTAGTATTCCATCAGATGAAGCTGTGAGAAAAGCTCTGACTGAGTTCTTTTCTAGTCTCGATAAAGCTGAAATCAGTGGAATAACGAAAGGAATACAAGAGATATTAAAAAAAGAGAATCGTCATTTACTAAATGTTTTCCGTATGGACCGTGATAAAAGTGTAGCAGAAACAATATTTAAAGCTATTTTTACTAGTATGTATTGAGATCAAATAAAAATTAAATTACTTTCTATTTCTATTAAAGTGAAAAATAAACAAGATGAAATCAGTATTAGTAGTGAACAAAAAAATGAACAGAAGAACCAAGATGAACAGAAGAACCAAGATGAACAGAAGAAGCACGATGAACAGGAAAAGCAAGATGAGCAGAAGAACCAAGATGAACAGAAGAACCAAGATAAACAGGAAAAGCAAGATGCGCAGAAGAAGCAAGATGAACAGAAAAAGCAAAAGGAACAGAAAAAGCAAGATGAACAGAATGCAAAGGATGAAGATATCTTATTAGAACTGGCATCTCAATGGAACTATTTCGATGGTGCTTTATCAATATTAAAAAAACGACTACAAACTACGAACAATAATGACGAGACTAAAGAAGTAAAGTAAAATTTATTAATAGTATAGAATTTACTGTTTCTTTTTTATAATAGAAAGATATGGAACGTTACAAAAAGTTATTTCGAGATTCATTAATAAAAAATCATCCAGTTTTTGTTGAATATTTTCATGCTGCTGGTTTTGACCCATTTAAACTTCTTGATATTAAACGTGTTGAACAAGACCGCCATACTATGCTTGTACAATTATATAAAGATACTTATGAGGAAATACCTACGGTATGATTATAAGACTAAACTAATGCTTACAATGAAATTTTTTCTTTTTATTAAAGAGCAATCGTAGCTATATAAAAGAATTATTTGGTCAATCAGGTGTAAAAACAATAAGAACACTTGATAGAAAGTTAAATAAATTTATCGGTTCATTTTTTGGAGCAATTTATTCTGAAAAATATAATACATATACAAAACGTATTTGTATTGATCTGACAAATCATGTATGTAGTTGCTGTAATAGTGCAACAAAGCATCGTACTTCAAAGAACAATCAAGTTTCTCCACAAGGTATTAAAGGTACTCAATCTCAGGATCAACAAAATAATAAGAAAGTTTCAAGCGAAGAAAATGATACGGAAGGTTCAGGTGAAAATAAGGATACGAAAGATTTACTAGAAAAAAACAAACTATCACGTGATTTATTTTTATGGGCTGTATTCATGGATATGCCTGAAATGGCAAAAATACTTCTCATTCATCAACAATCTCGTATATGTGCTGCTTTAATAGCTTCAGCTATATTTAAACGATATTCGAAATTGTCGTTAACTGTTGATCTCAAAGAAAAATTTAAAAATCAAGCGGATGACTTCGGAAAATATGCAGCCGATTTTATTAATGACTGTTACAAATACAATGAACGGTCAGCATGTGAATTACTTCTACGACAAATACCACTCTTTGGTGATATTACATGCATGCAGGTTATCTATTAAAACATTTTCAATATCGATATTTAAATATAATTTTAGATTGCTATCTCAAGCGAAAATATTCAACTAGTTGGAACAGCTTGTTTTGATCAGACACTCACTCAAGTATGGTACAATAAATTATCTATGAAAAATAATCAAACATTAACAAGACCAGCACAACTTCTATCCATAATGACTTTTGGACTTTCAGCACCAGTGACAATTCCGTATAGGAAAAAGGAAATTGTATGTAGATGAAAATCTTTTTTATATTAATAATTCTATTTCATTTGATCTTTAGGATATGCAAGATATATCGTAAATAGATATTAATTATTTTTTTGTCAAATTAATTTCATTTCTTACTTAGATTATCAACAAGAGGTATCAACTATTATGCCGATAAAGAATCAACTGAAAGTAAAGAACCAGCTAAAAATAAAGAACCAATTAAAAATGAATTTAAAAAATATTGGACTCGCTTTTACCATTTTCATGGAAGCCCATTCATTAGAATGTGTTATCATTTTGTAAGTAAATTTCTATTAAATCAAATATATTAATTCTTTCATGTATTTTTTATTTATTTAGATAAGTTATATTTGGTTTTTACTTGTATTTAGTTATATGATGCTTTATGAGCTAAATAATCCAGATACTTTAGGAATTCCACATTGGACTGAAATCTATGTTATTATTACAGTATCCACTATGTTTTGTGAAGAGATTCGAAAGGTAAAGTGAAGAAATTTATTTTTAATGAATAAAAACATGTATTTTATTTTTTAATAAAGCTTACTCATGAATATAAATATCGAATGATTGAGCAATGGGGTTCGACTGGATCAACTATATTAACAGTTTTAACAAATATATTTTATATTGCACCATATCTTTTATTTTATCTTGGTCTAATATTTCGATATGCTGGTTATGACGATAAAATCTTTACTGCTGGAAGGTTTGTTTATTCATACGAGTAATATATACGATAAATAGTATTGTTGTAGGATTATATGGGCATTTGACCTTGAATTATGGTATCTTGGCTCATTGAGATTCGTTGTAGCTTTAAAATCTGTAGGACCCAAATTATTTATGCTTAAAAATATGGTTTGTATATTAATATTAAATAAGATATGCGATATATGAATGAATGAATTTCTAGCTTCGTGATCTAGCTGCTTTTTTCTATATGATTTTTATTGCAATAGCTGCATATGGTGTTGTATCTCGTGCATTAATTCTTTATCAACAAATTCCATTTACTGGTAGTGATATATTTAGATCAATCTTTTATGAACCATACTGGTTTATATATGGAGACGTATCTGATAAAGATCTACTTGATCGTAAAGATTCTTCTAGTTTAAAATTATATAATGTTTTCTTTTATTTATATTTATTTAGAGATAATCAGTAATGGTACACAGTCACTTGTTGCTGAAGCAACTGCTACACATGTTTTATTAGCATTTCATATGTTATTTATTAATATTCTTATATTGAATTTATTAATTGCTGTTTTTACGTAAGTACTCATTTTTTATTATCGAAGACAATTAATTAGAAAATTTAGTGATACAATTGATAAAGTGAAAGAAAATACTGAATTTTATTGGCGTTATCAACGTTATTCATTTATTTGTGAATATTTTGAACAACCACCATGCGCTTATCCACCATTGATTGTATTTTCACATATTATGCTACTTGCTCGTTATATTTATTCAAAATTGTCCTGTACAGAAACTGAAGATAATCATCATACATCGAAATCAATAATATTATTACGTAATTTTAGTAAGATTGATAACACGATTTGTTTCATTCAATAAACATAACAAAATAATTTAGAAATGATCGCAGCAACTGATACAACAAACGAACGTTGGGATGCATTTGAAAATGCTGCGACACATAATTGTGCTCGATCAAATGTAGAAAAGGCTACAAAGAATGATAATCTGTTATCTGACGATGACCATACACATAGCACAACTAGCACGAATGAGTATGATCAGCATTTTGTGATTGTTTTTTATAACATTTTTTTTTCTATAGATCTGAGATGATGAAAGCAAATCTTGATCAACAACGAAAGATAAATGAAGTAAGCAAACAAACTTCTGAGAATTTTCATCATAAATATTCTAAAGTATCGAGCAAAAATAAATGAGTAATGTTCTATGTGTACATTTAAATTTAATCTTTATTCTTTTACTGACAACATGTTAGCATTCAAATTGATCGTACAGAAAATTTACTTTTTTGAGTTGTATTTTGAAATTTTAAGAGAAAAAACATGAATTTAGAAATAATTATTGTTAAAAATCATTGAAAGACTATTGTTGAAATATTATTTAGATTGATAAACAAATGCAAGATCTCTCACAAAAGGTAATATACTAGTTATTTTTTTTTCTATCATTCATAAAGGTGTTGTATATATAATAAGGTAACTCAATCATTAGAATGGATTATGGATGCAATGGTACGAGTAAAAATGAATGATCGTGAGAAAAAACCACCCTTATTGACATCAACATCTGTTGGTGATAGTAATGTCCCAACAACAACCCACCCAACAACAAGTTCTAGTTAATTCAAATATTTGACTTTGCTTTATATTTTATTCAAAAATGATTTATAATTTTTATTTAATTATTAATATATATTTATTAATTATGTTCAAATCTTTAACATAATGAGAATATATCGAATGATTCAATTTCATTGAAATCTAACTATCAATTATTAAAATTTGATAGTAATCGAAAGGCATCAATTAAAAAGAATAAGTTCATGTATTATTACGATAAAAATACAAGACATATAGTTTTGTTCGAGCAACAATTGTTTCGTCGGATAGTACATATGAAGGTATCTGTCATCGAATATTAGATTTATATATATAGCAATAGACTTCGTCTATCGTATGTAAATCCTTTATAGTGACTTGGATATTTTTCTTAGGTGATATAACATTACTATATATGGGGTGTTTTTACTTGTTCTTACAGCATACTTGTTGATAATCAATTCGAATTTATTTTCATTTCATATGGTTAGTATTCTGAGCAAATATTCTAATTGAAAGTCTAGATAAATATCATTATTTATAGTATATGATGAATCGATTTAATTTAAGAAAAATAATTCTATTACGAAATTAAAACAATAAGAGAAAACTGAGTTTGTTACATATTTTTCATCATTTCTAATGAAATCCTGACGTTATATTAGACCCAAGCAAATCATCTCAGAATTAGAGTTAACTTAATTGATATTTCCGTTTTCTGTTATTATATTAATCAGAATAAATGAAATCTCAACATACGGTTTCCTTTTTAAAAATGAAACGAATCGGTTTTATCTCCGAATTGAGTTGCCCAGCTTTGCGTTATATTCTAGAAACTTCATTTTAAAATGATTTTTTATTAATTTTAAATGACTAAACGTTCTTTCATTCGATGCAACAGATACTAGTAATGTTAGTATAAATGAGTATACACGATATAAAACGTGGATGTAAGTATTTGAGCTTGCTTTTCGAAAACAAAAGTATAATTCTGTTTAATCGATGTACATATTTGTAAATCATTTTTTAATAAGTGAACATCATATAAAATAACAACTCAACATCATCGATGCCAAGAATAATAATTGTAATTTTTTCACCATCTTCTGTTCCGAAACTACCTGATGTAGATTAATAAAACATCTGTAAAAATTAAAAGTTTGCTAATAGAGTAGTTTCTTACTTATTTTTGACGACCATAAATATATAAAATGCTTTAATAAATCAGTATATTCATTAATTAATTGGTCGAAGATTTGATAAAATATTTTTCTGTAATACACTTAAATTAACAATGAAACATAATTAATAGGTAGTGTAAAGAAGTTTTACGTAAGAATGAAATTTTCGATCTTATTTGTGATCTTTTAACAATTAATAAATTTACGGTTATTATCAGTAAATAAAAATAATCTGTCATCTTAGTTTTAATAATCTATATGTATATATATTATTTATACAATTTCGGTATGAAAAACAAAAACTTGAAGTATTCACCTATACTTTAGTTTAATTAGTGAATAAATAGTTATTTATTATTTTATTCTAACTGAAGCAAACTCAATTGTTAAGTAAATTTTCTGTTCACACTAGATTAGAATTTTCACATTGAGTTCGAATGCCATTGGAAGAAACGTTGTTCTGATAACAAACGCCAATGATATCTGTTTGAATTTCCAAGGGCAAGAAAAAGACATAAAAATAATTTCATTATCGATAATAGCAATAAAACATCAAGAAAAAAAACTAGTTAACATGAAGAATGAAATTTTGCTTTCTAAATGTTTTTGCAACTGTTTGTCTAAAGAGATGTTATTGCACAGTAGAAGTAAACATAAAATTTGCATCGTAATTTCATTTCTATCGGATACTACACGCACTGACTCATAGTGCAAACAAAACCGAGGAGAAAAGTATCGTATGGTTGTGCAATAATACTTTCGTCATATACATTTATTTTTTCCCGGTCTATCTGTTTGTACTGCAGAAGCACAAAAACATGAATTTTGAATCGTTGGCCAACGAGTTATTACTTGATATATTTGATTATTACTATGTCATTGATCTTCTCCGTACCTTTTTTGGTCTCAATATTCGTATTAACAATCTCATTGGCAAGTATTTTCAATCTCGTGTTATGGATTTTCGATCGATGTCTAAACATGATTTTGATATAATCTGTCGAGATTATTTGCCATCGTTTTTTGATTCAGTGTCTGCAATACATCTGTCGGATGATGGCGCCACTCCACATCAATTATTTTGTTTTCTGTCTCATAACATATCTTTTCATCAATTTACTCACTTACGATCGCTTACATTACATTGTGGACCGTGTAAATCGGTTCAAAAATCAATTCTATCGGAATTATGTCACTTATCTTCGGATTTAACTGATTTGAGTCTAACCTTTGACGATAAACCTTATTTTCATAGCGAAGAAAGTATTCTTCCTTTCGTGAACAGTATTTGGAGTCTTCCTAACCTTACCAAATGCTACTTATGCATAGAAGATTTGCCCGTATCAACAATCGTTTCATTATCTCTTACAGATCTTACTATTAAACGTGGTTCATATTCTCTTGACAAAATTTCTCTGTTATTCAAACATACACCACACCTTAAAAATCTTACTATTCCATCGGTGCAACTCAATCCGGATAATCAAATTGAACTACCCGTTGTCCCATCACTAAACATGTTAAATACTATATTTATTGCATCGGAAGAAAATATGGTAGCAAAATTTGTGGAAAAAATGCCAAATTTATGTCATTTAACATTTCGTACGTTTGGTCTTTGCATTGATGGACATCAATTAGAAAAAATAATCGGTCAAAATTTACCCAACCTGAAAGTACTGGAGTTCCGAATGAGTCTCACACCTGATAGACATCTCGATATAAAAACACAAGTTGATCGATTACTCGAACCATTTCAAAATCCATTTTGGATTGATGAACATCGATGGTTTATTCAATGTCATTGGATATCAAGTATGGACAATGTTTATCTCTACACTTTGCCATACGCATTCGATTATTTTGATTTTCATCAATCTCTTCAATCAAAATCTACTCTTATTTATGATGATGATTTTTATCAATCATATAATCATGTACATGATCTAATAGTACATAGTCCCTCGGAACAGAATGGCTTAGATTTGATTAATATTCGCTTTAACAACGTTCGTTATCTTTTAATCGACTCTCTTCTCAATAATCACTTTTTGTCCATTATCCCAAACTTGAATCATTTGGTTTACCTTGATATAACAATATTTAATAATGATCCACGATATAAAAGTCAATTACAAAATTTACTCAATCGAGCACCTCGTCTGTATTCGTTACGTTTCGGTACAGGTATGTCACCTTCTAAATTCTGTGAAAAACTAGTTATCAATCTTAGAAGTTCATCAGTGCGTCGATTGATTTTAAGAGACGTCCGACGCCAATGGTACAATAATTTGCAATGTGCTCTATTGAGTCACTCATCATTAGGCGAACAATGTGAAATACTTGAAATTGATGTCGAAAATGAGACATGCATATACGATCTTGTCGATTCAATGGTCAATCTTCGAGCGTTATATGTTCGATGTAAAACAGGCATCAGTTATTGGACATTGAAAAGTGCCAACCGGTTTCAAAATAGGTTATCCAACTGTGTCATTGGAGAAAACGACGTTGACGATGAATGTATTCGGATATGGATTCGTTAATTCTGGGTTGGTAATAGGAACGAAGAAACAAACTAACTGAACTTTTTCTGAGGTTAATCTTGAATAAATCGAATTTGACAAACCTCTTGTTTTTGATACTAAATCTGAGGGTGTGTGGGTGTGGGTGACGATATTTTATTCTTCATAGATCACACCCACATCCGCACCTAAAACTATTAGAGATGTCTTACTTTAGCATGGATAACATCAGCTAATAGTGCGACTGCAAATGCAGCTGGTTTTGTACCATACTATGATAATAACGAAGTGATTAAAACATTTGTTATGATAACAGATGAAGAAGAAAATGCGGATGCTTTATTAACTGATGGTACATCAACACGATTCTTTGATTTATAAAATATCGCACAAAAGTTTATCTAGCTAAGTTAGTATTTATTTCATCTCTTCATTCGCAATATGATCAAGGACAAATATATAAACAATTTCAAGATGCGAATGTTCTAGATGTAATACAAGTAATTAGTAGAGAACACCCAGACTTACCAAAAGTTGATAATCTATTAGGTTTATTATCAACTAGTTCATCGAATTCATTTAACGATAGAATAGAAATATTATAAAATAAATTTCAACAGAATGATGTTGAATTAGTTATTAAAAAGTTACTTAATAAGCAAGCGGAAAGTGATATACCTACAGAAATAGTAACGGCTACAGTGAACACGAATTGAATATACTTAGTTTATTTTATGTGTTTTCTGTTTTTTGCTCAATTTTGAATGTTAATAAAATGTGAACTCATACAAAGCTACGATATGATTAGTTATGATCTATACCTTCTTGAAATACGATCATCAGGACTTTTTTCTTTTATCATATGTACACATGATAGTTCAGTCATTGCAGTATAGAAGGGAAATAGAGATTTAGATCTCATATTCTTATCTATTTTACGAAACGGTTGAATGAAACTCTCCATTCGTTGGTTTTTGGTCAGTTACATACGTAGTTTTCCACTGTTTTATCAACTCAAACGATGGCAATAGATTGAACTTAATTACTAATGAATCCCACTCGTCTCGAGATAAATACAATGATTTATCAGAACATTCATATCCTCTCCAATTTATTCTTTGCGATATTTGAACTGGTTCGATTGACATTGTATTTTCATTAATAAGGAACATATCGTTTCCTGTTAATAAAATAAAACAACTCAGCGCCGATGATCAACACATGTCTGTAATATATTCATGAGACCATTCTTACTGTTTAATTATTGATAAACTTTCATCGATCAAACATAAGTTTCGATGAATATGTAATAATAAAT